ATCGTTTAAATAAATATGTGTATCATAGAGAATGACTATAAAAAAATTATACTTTGCTTCAAGGAGATAAGATAGAAATTATAAAAATCGCAACTTTTGCTGTTTCAGACGCTAATAATACGTTTTTAAGATTGTTTATATTATGTTTTCTAAAAATGTTTAATAAGAAATGTTTTATTAAGAAAATAACACAAACTAGACTAAAAATCAATGATATTTAGCATAAAGAGAAGTAGGTATATTCTATTATTCTTCGATAATAAGTATATTCCTACAAAGAGAATTTTTAGAAGATCTCGAAAATTCTAAGCACATACATCGTAAATTGACTTGCAGTCGCATCCAGTCGGAAAGACGAGAAAGTTTAAAAGGAACAGGAGGTTTTTGAGGTTTAGAGAGGATTTTTATGCGTTACAGCTTACTATTTTTAGTTTTGTCAGCAACTGACTCATGCAATGAACTTTAAAACTAGTTTTATAATTAAAATATCATTAATGCAATTTTCTTCCACAATAAAACATAAATTGAACAACCAATCTAAATTTTTGTACTCTTATTCCATGTTTAATTATTTGTATTTTGTATTGAATCTTTTATTATGAAAGTTCGATAAAAATTAATCCATTTAAAAAAGTTATTTCTTAAAGCTTAGAGATTAAATTAAATGTATTAACTACTTTACATGGGTTTACATGTGTGCATCAGGTGAAAAAATAGAATAAAAAAATTAGTAATAAAAGACAAAAACAAATTTGATTTGAATTAAAAAGAAAAAAAAAAAGAGAAAAAGATAAAAGCTGACTAAAATAATATGCTTACTGTGTGGAAAATGGGATGCTTGGTAGTTGGAAAAATTCCTCAGTGGTATACACAGGATTAGTAGACAGTATAGAACTAAACTAATTTTATAAGGTAACACTTTCAAATAAGTGGATACTCTGTTGAAAATGAGAGATCTAAATTGTCTTTTTTTAGATGATGCCGATCTGAAAAGTTTATTTGCTAAACTGATTGCATTTCTTGTGATCCACCTCACTATGATCCAAAAGTTATTAATATCAACATAACAGGAGCCATGAAAACCACACCAACAAGAACCATGGAAGTCATTCTTAGCCTCACTTCCTTTGATATTTACATCAAATAGGTTGCTCTGATGACAATGACATGCCTCCGCATGTAGGATCTGGTGAGGCGGACAGGAGGCGCTCGATACGCTTCCACTGCTTCAAGCGAACATGGACTCCATCTCACCTAGATATATCTTCCATAATCATATATTATATCAGAATAAATAGAAGAGCCGGATGTGGCAGATACGATTCATATCTACACCGATGGTTCTAAAACACAGGATGTGGAATATCCTTAAACCTAAACATAAAATGAACTGTGAAGCTGCAGAGTTGCCAGGGAGCTTTTAAGTTATCTTGAAAACACTACAGCAAACAAATACTTGACTATGACTAGACATAGTCTGCGCCTGATCACATGCATTCTGACTGGCCATTGCCAAGTACGGAAGCATCTCCATTGCATGCGGTTGTCAGAATCCGCACTCTGCAGGGGTGCAAACAAGAAGATGTGACCATCGAGCATATCCTCTACAATTGCCCGACGCTCTGATTCATTAGACGATTTGTGTTCCGCGAGAATTGACTAACACCGGCCGATATAAGAGAAGCACCTCTTGGCGACGTTGTCTACTACATTAAATCTGTAGGCTGGCTCACGACCTAGGAAATGTCTTTCAACTTAGGAGGATGCACAATGGACCTAGTGAGGCCTAAATGCAGTGTTAACCCACCCTCCACACATTACAAATACAGATAGTTCAATATATTGATAAATATACATGTCTGGAATAATTTTAATTTTTAATTTGGGAAACAAAGGTTACATTTATCTCGAAAATTGGCTTTAGTTATTATTCGTATTTCTCGTTTCTTTATAATAAAAACTTTTGCCGAATGAGATGAATTACCCCACAAATATGTCTCATAGGATAAATGAGTATGGAAGAGTGAAAAGTATGCAACGCGTAGAGTATCATGTTGGAACATTTGCGATGTTAATTTTTCCGTAGCACCTCAATATGATCGTGCCACTTCAGTGATTGATCGATGTGAATTCCGAGAAGTTTGATAGACTCATTGTTGGTGAATTCACGGTTTGTTGGTCTTGCTTTCATTGCATTTTAATTTGTTAGGCGCTAACCAATCATTTATTGGGTGCATTCGGTTATTCTACTTAATTCAGCAGCATTTTTGTTTAAGTGATAAAAAAAGTAACGTCATCGGTAAATAACATACAATTTGTGAAATTCTTACGATCAATTAAATCGGTCATATAAACGATAAAAAGTTGCTAGAATCGACCTTTGGGGTATTCCATGTTCAATTTGAGCAGTGAATGAAGGTTGACCGTTGAAAAATTGCAAGGATATGCCACGAATACCGTAGTGGGTTTCTCAAGCAACACTGAATAATGAGTAATTGAAGATGGATTTCTGGTATTTATATATTATAAACCCGTTACAAATGGATAAAGACTTTTGGCAGAAAGCGCTCGATATATATCTCATCGAGATATTTCTTCCATAATCCATATAAAGTTATAGCAGAACAAATAGAAGTTCCGTATGTATAAAACAAAAAAAGTTTTATTCGGTTCGATTATCGCGATGATCGTTCAGCTTTGAACGATTAAACGTTGAACGATAATCTTTGTATACTCTTTTGCTCGGAGCATCTGCGGTTTTTTGATTTTTGGCTAGTCGCTTGTTTTCATTTGCAGTTACGTTGTTCTGGCTAGGCCATGTGTCGGCAACTAAACTGTGATTTTCGTTCAAGGATTTACTGAGCCAGGCACCTTGAAGTAGTTCTTCTGTCACGTTGTGCGAGGTTAGAGGTTAAAGAATGAATGTTAACAAGCTAAAGTACAGAATAGGAGGTTGACCGATGAAAATTAAAAAAAACGTTTTAAGGAGCTCTGTATCACAATATAGGTCGCAAGATGGGTCCTAACTATATATATTGAGACAATATAAAATTCAGCTTCAGGATTAGGCTTTCTGAATTTATTGTTGGTGCGTGAATGCTGCGAAACACCTTGCTGCTACCAAGTACCGTGAAGTTAAATAGAGCAGATTTGGAATGGATTTTTCCCTGAAAAGTGCAATGGAATAAAATTATAACATTTTAATAAAATTGCCACTAGACATTTCTTTTGGAAGTAGCCCACTGTCCTAAAAAGATTACCGACCCCCTTTTCTAGAAGAAGGTTGTGTTTAACTAAATGAGTTTTTAGAGTTGAGCAGACGTAAGATGGCGTTAAATGCAATTTGAGTGAAGGGATAGAAGACGACGTAATAGTTCTTCATAAGTATGGGATGAAAAGAGCTAAAAAACACCGTCCGTTTGAGTGCCAAAATGAAGAAAACTTGATCACTACACATCAGTGTGAAGACAACAAAAATTTCTCAGAATTTGTCCGTCTTTCTATTGAATAGTTTGGCCACAATGAGGGATTATTCACCATGATGCACGTGGTATTTTACAACAAATAATCGTTAGCGACTGACGATTATATTTATCCATTGATGAAGGATAAATAAAAGTTGACGTTTCTTTGTAGAAATATGGCAACCAGTTTTCTTTCACCGTCAATGGAAGGGATTTGTCCAACTAATCAACTGTTACTAAGTCGGTAAACTTGTGGATATAATGCGTGTATGCTGTAAGGAATCGAGTACGTTTATTTAAAAAATATGATAAAAGTAATTGACCAACTAACACGTCATTCTTATTCATTCTTCCTTCATGTATTCACCCTTACGACTATTCAAGACCATTGTCGTAAATGACTAGCGGCAGTTGCTCTTGCTCGTAGCAAAACAATTCCATAGGATATATATTTAAATATTGCTCAATGATTATCGTTGCACGATCATCGTTGAACGATCATGGCGATAGTCGTAACGAATAAAACTTATTTTTTCTACGCCCATGTCAGTAAACGTTAAAAATCGCACTGTCAACATTCCTTGTAAATGACATTTAACAATAACATGCACGTAATGAGATCTCATAACATACACGTGCGTTTTGATAAGAAAACTTAAATTTCTTAGTTTAATCAAATTGCAATCAAATTTTTATCTACGTAAGACTTTATTTGGTTTATTTACATAAATTTAGAAAATTTAAAAACATAAGAACTTTTCGCATTAGCGAGATACATTTTGGATTAAAAAAGTGATGCCCCTAAATGTCAGCTACACATTATACAACTTTAAAAAACTAAGTCGCGTTTTCTTAGCATGCTATGAAAATAAACGTCGTTTCGTTTATATTGTTAATTTTTGTAACAAAATATTATTGTATTCAAGCATTTTCTCAACTTTATCTACGAATATGTCTGTTAGTAATTAAAGTGATGAAATTCTGAGCACTCCACCGGAAATTTTAGAAAAAGCTCAAGCTACCACACATAATTTGTTACCGCTAAAATCCAAAGAAAAGTACGAAATTACCTATCGAAAATTTATGGATTGGCGACAACAAGCATATGTCCTTTATTTAATAGAAGAAAATAAGTGGACGTAGAAAAAGTATAGTACGTTACACGAGTTGTTACTTACAACTCTTGTTAGGTAATATACTATTAAAGGTTTCATGTTCATACATATCAAATTTATCAATAAACGTAAGCTCTCAGCTGTATAGTATTGTCGATCGAATATTGCAACACTCTGTAATTTCCTTTGTCCATATATACCTAATTTCATAAATATATTTTTATTAACTCTCTGACTTTTCTCTGAAAGCAATACAATAAGATGGTGTGCTTCTGTTACATATATATCAATAATAAATATATTTTAAGGTGTTCTGGTAAAAAAAACAGTGCACCTAATAATAAACGTCCTAATTTTACAACACTGAACGTTCGAACGCAAGCAGGTGGTTTGTAATACTGATGATGTTTGATGTTTTCAGATTGGTGCCAAGAAGCTGTATCAAAGGCTGAAATACTCAGACTAATTTATCAAGGACGCTTTCTCCATAGTAACGTAACGTTAGGTGCTTTAGGATTACCATTCGGAAAGACTACAGTGATGCATTTGGTCCCCAGGGAAACGCTGCCCGAGCCTAACTCGCAAGGTTAGTACAAATCAACAAATCATTATAATTATTTTTCTTTATTGTTAGGTCCTATCATCACTTCTTAGTATTTTTTTATATAATATAAAATTAAAATAATAAAAGCAAATAAGAGTTTGATTTAAAATTGACTTAATTCTAGACTTGATGAAAATAGGTGATATTTGAAACGTTACTCTAAAATAACATTTTAAATTTGGGATAAGGTATGTTAAATATCTTAATTGATTATTTTGATGTTTATTGTTAATTTTACAATTTACAATGAACAAAATTTATTATGCATGTGTTTTTCGGATTTTAGAAGTTATTTTAAAAACTTGTTTTTTTTAACTGCGTTTAAGAAACTTCAATTTAAAATTTGAAAATTATCGGATTCTCCCAAAACAAGAATCATATAAATTAATTAATTTTTAGTTAATGCAAAAACAGACAAAAACTATAAAAATTAAATGTTGATGTTAAGAATAACAAAACTGTTTTGAGACTTCATTGCGACCCAGCCTACTCGACTGAATGTTGACCGTTAATCACCTGGCTAGATCGGGGTACGAGTAAAAATCTGCTAGTTTCGCTAGAATATTTACAGGATTAAATGGCAGTTAATTTTAAACTTTTAATCTTTTATTAAGTGAAAAATATTACTGGTCAAATTTTCAACATATATTTATCATTATCATTTACATTTATATAACACTTAACACTGTTGAACGAATTAAGCATCTTAAAAATTTGTTCTAGTATAATTATATAAATTTAAGGCTTTAAAGATAGTTGAAGGATCTGAGATGGGATGAGAATTTGTGTGTACCGACGAGTTGGAATCTTATTGACTTCAAATTTGCGAATTGGGACTCAAAGCTTATGTGCTTTGATAGCTTAATTGGCAGAGTACGGACGGCTCAGGTCCGAGGTTCCGGGTTCGACTCCCGGCCGATGAATTAATTTTTTATCTCATTAATTCTCAGCCATTTTAATTTTTTTTGGTTTCTTTTCACTTTGGGAATATGAGAATGTAATTTTCAAATTCAAATTTTGTTTGTAGAGATTTTTGTTTACATTTTTGTTATATTTAGACTTACTTTTGTTCTTTCATTTATGTTGTTATATTTTTGTCACACAGACAAAGGGACAAGTTATTTTTTTTACACCTACATGCATATATTGCATAATCTATGCACAAACTACTGAACGAATAAGTATGTGATACCAGTCTTGTGGAAGGATATAAATTCATATCCATTCTAGGATAGTATAGATATGAAATCTACCAATCACAGTTCATATTTAATAACTGGTCTACCATCCTTTTTTAAAATTTAAAAAGTGACAGCTAACTAATTATCAGTATATCTTTTAGTTATTGAAATTAAATAATAGGTAATTCATTTAGAGGCAAGGTCGCCGATAGCCCCGGGGCAAAACACTAGCGGGGTCCTTGCCAGTATTTTTATATTTTTGTGTTAATTATCTTTAAAATAGTTATTTTATTCTAATAACCTCTAAATTAATTTTTAATGTGTAGATTTCCATTTGTTGGCCCTAGAAAAAATATACTGTACAACTTGAGTGGATTGTCCATATCACTCTCAGACGAAACTTCGTCTTCATGCCATATGGCCATCATACCCACTCTAGTTGCAGAACGACCTGTCAAACAATTGCTGTCAGTGGGAAGGGTTCGTATATCTAAGAGGGTTGAGACATAGCCTTACATCTTGGACGCTATTTTTATTTGAAATAGTAGTCGCAAAATCTGCCAATTTATGTAAAATATATAAGAAGTATGTTTAAAAATAATATTTTCATTGTGTTCGACATAAAATATGTAAATTTAATTCATTATTCATGATTTCGCGTAGTTACTTTTCTCAGTGTAAAGATGAAATCGATAAAAATGTCAACTATCAACAAAAATCTGAACTCTCCGAAATCAAAGGAGCCGGACCCAAGTTGTCGTTACCACGGTCGCTACTAAAGTCAGATTACAATAAGAAGAACGCCGCTACGTCATAACCATTATCTCGAATTTCAAATATACATTATCTATAACTATCAATAAAAAATAAAGAATAAGTAAGTTGTTTGATATAAAAAAATAATTCCTATATTCCTTAGGGTGATTCATTTCCGCAGTTTTTTTTTTTTGGTGCTCAAGCAAAATATTAATCTACATAAAAAAAAAGTTTGAGCTCTTAATATCAATTTTAAGTACTTACTATTTAAATTTAAAATTTTGCCATTTAAAATGCATGTAAAAAAATTATTTTTTTAAATTTCCAATGCTTACCCACCTTTTATAATAATGCAAATCGGTTTAATGGACCTTGTGGGGAATTTCATGCTCTTCGAAATTGCAGTGTTTTTTGTGTAACTCGCACTGGTTTACCAGTAGGAGTCGTCAAAGTAGTTTAAAAAAAAATTTTTTTTTCGAGCAAACCGCCAGAAGTAGGGAGAAAAATAGGGCTGACTCATAAAAAAAAGTTATCCGACCAATATTTAATGAATTTACATCCATTTTTATACCTGAAACGTAAGAAATTGATAAATACTAACTCATATGTTATTTAGATTAATTTTTTGTATTGATTACCATTATATTTCCCTACACTAAGAACTTTTTTAGAATTATTATGATATCTCATAATGAATATAATTTAGAAGAGCGTGAAATTCCCCACAAGGTCCATCAAACCGATTTGCAATATTGTAAAGGGTGGGTCAGCATTAGAAATTAAAAAAAAAGATTTTTTTACATGCATTTTAAATGTTAAAACTTTAAATTTAAATAGTAAGTACTTAAAATTGATATTAAGAGCTCAAACTTGGTGAGAATCTCTTTTTCTATATGTAGATTAATATTTTGCTTGAGCACCAAGAAAAAAAAACAAATTTTTGCGGAAATGAATCACCCTAATATTCCTATAATATTAACATGCCACTAAACCCACAGTAGGCGGCGATATCCAATGAATTACTCCTCCAAGTGATGACGTAGCTATGTTCTTCTTATTGTAATTGGATCTTACCATAAAATAAATACATAATTGATGACGTTATTTTGTATAAAGAACACAAAATCGCATAACAGTACTAAAAAATATTGTTACTAATTTCAGAAGCTTATCAAAAATTCATATCCCATACAAAACCTTGTCTCGCTTCTATTGGAATGTTCTGTTTATTGTTGATCTTTGATATCCATATTAACTTGTTCTTTCTTTTCAGATCAACGACAAAAAAGCAAAGGTGGTAACAGCAGTTGCTGTTCAACATCCTGTTGCATTTTGTAAACCATCTAACATGAATTTTATCCAAGAAGACTCTAGGAAAAGCGATATCTAAAATAAAAAAAGATGAATAAGAAGAGATGTTTAAAAAAAGAGAGTGTAATTTTTAATTTTTACTCGAGTTGCGGTTAAGTTAATTTAGCATAAAAAAAATTAAGTAAAGTTGTGATATACGTGTATAAAAAATTCGATACTCAATGTGCCAGACTCAGAGTGTGTGATCAAAGGAACACTGCAATCATGTTGTACCGGGTGTTAACGTTTAAATGGTAGGCAACACCGTACTTGACGTTTTATTTACAATCCTGAATTAAATTCCAAACCTTTTTTGACTACAAAGTTTTGGAGCGGTAACAAAATTTAATAACGATAATTATGGTTCTTTTAGATATTCATTGACTGTGATTATTTTGAGATATAAAAAGCTTCAAGTTAATATGAAGTAATGTATTTTATTTATTGTCTTTCGCCCTACAGCAGAAGACATTTTTAACTAAACTGAATTAATATACTGATCATTGCTTCATACAGTGTGAATATAAAGTGTTACCACCCTACTAACTTCCGTACGGTAAAATATTCGAGAAAATGCTCGAACAGGTTGATTTTTTATTTCTGATAAAGCACAGTATTTCTACAATAAAAAATGTACAGTAATTACAACCCCTTGCACAGTTTAGTTACTCCTTTAAAAATTTTAAATGGCAACAGGTGTCGACTAATAATAGCTCACGCTACATATCACTAGTTTATTAATGGGATTACATCATTGTAAACTAATAATATTAAGTTATCAAATGTTCATCAAAAGGTTCTTCTTATTTTAAATTTAAGTACTTGAGTGAAAAAGTAATGAAGCAATTTTAAAATTATTTGAATTTGAATAGAGAATTAAAACTATTCAAATGAGCTACCAGTCGACCCCTGTTGCCATTTAAAATTTTCAAGTAGATAGCTAACCTGCGCAAGGGGTTGAGGTTAGGGTAACTTTTTTATTACGGAAATGGGCTTCATCAGAAATATAAATTGACCTGTCCAAGCATTTTCTCGAATATTTTACCATACAGAAATTGGTAAGGTGGTAAACACTATACGTTCATACTGTATAATCAAAGTCTAAAAACTTAATCACAGGTTAATGTTAAATGCTGGATTTTTCATTTAACACAACATACAAAGTACGGCATTGTATACCGTTTAAAATGATCGCCCAGTATTTTTTTGTAATTATATATAGTTGTATATTGTTTTATATTTTAGAAGTGTAATATTTTATTGTTTTTGTTCACATCGTTCATCCCCACCATCTTGTAAATTAATCCATGTACCATCGGTCGAAATATTATCGTAAAAACATTTATTGAAAAAAATATTACCTACTTAATGTAATTTAAAAATACATAGATCGGTTACGAATTTTTTTTTTAGTTGAAGTTAAGCAACACATGACATTTTAATACTAGTGTTAAAATGTTATGATGTGATGATTTCTTTGCTAAAAATGTAGTTTTTCAAACCGAACTATGCTATGAGTAATATATGTGCTAGTATACTCAATATATTATTCGATAGAAGCATGAAAATCCGGGATGGAGTGTATTACTGTCATATTTGACAGCTTATGTAGTATTACGTTCTCTAATATTTTAATTTATCCTAAATTTTGTTTAAAAATTTGCAACCCTGTAATAAATATATAGAACACATTCAAAGGCCTTTTACGAAGCTTTGATTTTTAAAATGAATCTTGTGTAACGCTGCTTTAGATTTGAGCAAAATGTCTCGAATTTAAAGATCATCGACGTTTTGTGATATTATTTTAGCGTCGTGATACCCAATAAGTTACAAAAATAATTTATTAGGATTATTTTGACCAGTGTTTTAATTAGAACAATAATTGTATTATCATTTGATCTCATGTACTTGAATAATTTTTGTAACTTTATTCCACTTTATATGGTGTTTTTATAACAATTTAGAATATAATATAGTGTTTTTAATGTAAAAAAATCTAATATGAAGTGGATTTTCATCCTCTATCGAATAATATCATATTATACATTTTTTCGAAATAGTACTGCTTTTATCTTGAAACTATAAACAAATAAAAAATATATTTTAGAACATCACAATAATTAAATAAAAATGTATTATCGGTTCTAGTTTTGTTTTTTATGCATTTACTATCAGTTTTTTTAAATCTATTTTTTACTCCTTATTGTTGCAATCTAAACATTACTTCTGACAGCTAGAAATTCAAAATTGGTTTTAGTATTTGATAGTTGAGAGATTGTCAACGTCAACTGAATGCTGTTAAAAATGTTAAACACTGACTTTGACAGAATTAGGCACTAGGCATTCTCTCATTTGTCAACAAAGTCAATATATTAAAACTGCATTTTCTAACTATCTGAAGAATGACCGTTGAAAGATTCCATAGTTTTTTTGCATAATACGTTGATTTGATTCGTTAGTTATATTTAGAACATTTATTTTTTTATTTTAGTTCAATTGTATAAAGACAAGTCATTGTAGACTAGAAATATCAAGGTACTTTAAACCAGAAGCTCTAATCATTTCCTTGGATTTTGTAGATCAGAAGTAAAGAGAAATGAGTCAAAAATCGACATTGAAAATTCAAAACAAAATTTAAACTCGCATATTTATGTATATTGGGGTATCGTTTTTGACTCATTTTTTGTTTTTGAAATATGTTTAATGTTCTTTTTTTATCTAAAAGGGCTCCAAGGTAATCGTTTTAGATTTTGACATTGATCAAATCAAATAAGTGTTAAAAAAATGTTTCAAGAATGCAACATAATGTATTACTTAAGTAGATATATTTGAGTTACCTTGAGAAATCAAATTTTATCGAATTGTATTCGAAATGTTATTTATCAAGTTCACTCAAACGAGTTGAGTTGGGCAAATGCTTCGTTTTCTTTTTGCTTTCAAATAATCGCTGAAGTAAACGTTAAAAAGTCATTGCACATTCAAACGTCTAGCAGCCGGTTATAAGAATGTATTAATAGTTTATTAGCCTGATAAAATTTGACAGCGCTTAAGAAAAATATGACCTGTCTGAATGACAGTATCTTCAAATTACTCAGTCTTGCAACTAGGGATGGGAAAAATAATCGATTAGTCGATTATTCTTTTTAATCGATAATCACTTATTTTCGATTAATCGATTATTTTCGATTAATCGATTATTTTCGATTAATCGATTATTTTCGATTAATCGATTATTTTCGATTAATCGATTATTTTCGATTAATGGATTATTTTCGTTTAATCGATTAAGTTCGATTCATCGATTAAGTTCGATTCATCGATTAAGTTCGAATCATCGATTATTTTCGATTACGCGATTATTTTCGATTAATATATTATTTTGTATTAATCGATTATTTTGATTAATCGATTATTTCGATTAATCTATTATTTCGATTATTTTAAATAATCGATTATTTATTTTGATAATCGCTCAGCCCTACTTGCAACCGGCTGAGAGTGTTAGAAAAGTGTACTTTATTTTTTTAATGATGAATATCGATCTATATATTTGTTATTTGCCGTTTAATTGGGCTGCTGCTAAAATTTTGAAATATAAGAAGACAAAATATCTAAAATTAAAAAATTAACTTTATTGCTTTTTAAAAACTGTCCTCTTCCTTGTGAATAAATTAATTTTTCATTCTAAAGATGGCAAATTCAAAATTTCCTTCTTATACACTTCATTTGCATATTGAAAATCGATAACCATGTAATTTAGCTTTAATTGTTGGAAATATTAAGCAAGTGAGTTAAATTAAGAGGAATCCAATTGAACATACTTTTTTACAGATAAATGATCTAACGATTTATTAGTTTCATGCCAATGATGGAATCTCTCTAAAACATACATTTCGATCTGTCATTAGGGGGGAGTGTTGTACCTTGGGATATATATATTTTTTTGATATATTGATAACTGAAAAAAATGTTTACTTCCAAATTGTCCCAAGGTTTAACAGAGTCTTGTACCTTGGGACGTCACTAATTGTACGTAGGGATAACAAATAAATCAATAAGAAGTCATACAAAAGGAGAATGTTTTATTCGGTTTCCCTTCCTCCAATTCTGGGTTTTGGTATTTTTCAGAAAATGTCTGATTCGCTGATTTCGTATAATTCTTCACAAATTTGTTACTATTTGGCATTTGTGTTTTTCAAAACATCTTTCTTCCAAAATCTTCTTTATTTTCACTATATAACATATAATATAGTGTATCCCATTAGTGCGTTATGTTCAATATTTCAGTTTGTGTTATAGACACGCAAAGAAGTTTCAAATAAAAGTTATATGGATTTAAACAACACATATTTTTGGATCTATAGGGTGTTGCGTTTTCACTTGGCAAATAAATAAAAGTGTATATTTTTTAAATAGAACACCCCGCATTTTATTTCAGTTTTAGAATGGTTTGGTAATATTGTATTCAATCCTAGAAAGTTTTTAAAAAATATTACAAGTTTGCCAAGCAATTAATTATTTTATGAAATTAGAGAAATATGTTTCCAAACTAAATTATCATAATTTAGGTAGGTTTATAATAATTTTAAAATTGTTTAAAATACAGACTTATGAGATACCAAACTAACCAGTAGTTGTGATAGAGCTGGTTTATTTTGTACAGAGTGTTTTGAAACGTGTCTTAAATATGGCTAATTTTATTTTAGCATAAAATTCCTTATAAATTTGCCTACCAACGAAACCAACATGTTAGCCAATAACACATATACAGGGTGTCCCATCAGTGCGTAATTGATCGACAGTTGTTTTACTATTGGAAATGTGAAGAAATTTTTAATATGAAAGTTGTATTACCATATTTAACAATTATTCTTAAATATACAGGTTGGTCCATAAACAAGGTGCTGATCAAACCTATATTTTTTTAAAACAAAACAGTCTTCAGGTAGTTATACATATTTGATTGTTTTCACTTCGTCAAACAGTTT